TCCCTCCCCCTCATTCCCGCCTCCTTGATCTGACACAACCTGTCCATCTTCTCTCTCACCTATCCACCCCTCCCACCTCACTGACCAATCCCCAACACTCCTTGCCTGCACTCACCCATCACTATCTCGCCCACCTTCCCCAGCCCCACCCTTCCTCTCTCTATTTATTTCTGAGCTCCCATCCCCCTCACCATTTCTGAAGAAGGACCCCGTCAGCTTTCCTGCTGCTCTGATGCTGCCTGGCCTGCTGTGTTCCTCCAGCTCCACATTGTGTTATCTCTGACCCCAACATCGGCAGTTCTTACTATCTCTGAGCTACCGTTTCACTTTCTTATGTTTTAGGCAACCCATACATATGTGGATCCAGAGTCCACTGGCCAGCCAATCGGAATTCTCCTCTCATACAATATAAATATTAGTTTTCCCTTTAAATTGGTATTCTTTAGCATCATCTTGAATACAAGGTGAAAAAGCTTTGACAACTTGTCTTTTTTCAACAATTACAGAAAGTTTGAAATCATGACAACTTAACCACTAAAATGTTTGCTGCACTTTTATAATGCAATACATTCAATATTTTGTTAATCGACGGATAGAATGCCCAGAAATATGGAGTGACAATGAGATCTTGTAACCCATTAATAGTTCAGCCCAGTTTACAAAGTCATTCATTTCTCCAATAATTTGAAGAAGTTTGGTTTATTTAAAACGTTTTTTGTGATTCTCCCTTCCCCCTCCCAAATATAAGGATAAATCAGTCACATTAAGGTGATTATTTCCAAGGTGATCCCTTACCATTTTAATAATACCTAACTCTGTTAGTTTTTCCTCACTAAACCTAGGGTGGTCTGTTCCCTCATTGGGCCTTAATCAAATCAATCTTGAATGATCAATTGAGCATTGATTGTATTCTTCAGTGGTTGAGCAACTCATCTTTTCTCCTGACTGCAGCACTGAAATTTAACAGTGACTATCTTTTATATGGTTGAAGTTCCATCTGCGTGTGCTATGTTGTGACGCGTTTCTTTCCTCCCAATAGTAATTGTTGGCTGAACTTGGTTCAAGTTGACTGAGTTGAAAACCTATTCAGATATGAATAAAAACCAAAAGAACTGCGGATGCTGTAAATCAGAAACAAAACAAAAATAGAAGATGCTAGAAAAGCTCAGCATTTCCCTTCACAGATGCTGCCAACCTGCTGGGCTTTTCCAGCAACTTCTGTTTTAATTCAGATATGAAACTGGAGTTCTTTATTTCTTAGTATTTAGTTGTGCTTATCAAGAATCAACCACACTAGCTAATGTTTGGCCTTTTTTTAATACACTCTCCAAGGTCTGTTCAATAGCCTGTTTAATAATTCTTTTTTGGCTACTGATAATGTATTGCTTTACTGTGAGGAAATTGCTTCACTGAAGCATTTCTTAATTCAGCAAGTTTAAGGCATAAAGCTTGAGCAAAAGCAGAGGTTGCTGGAAAAGCTGAGCAGGGCTGGCAGCATCTGTGAAAAATAATCAGAGTTAACATTTTGGGTCTAGTGACCCTTAGAACTGTTCTGAGGAAGGGTCACCGGACCTGAAACGTTAACTTGATTTTTCTTCACAGATGCTGCCAGACCAGCTCAGCTTTTCCGGAAACTTGTGTTTTTGCTCCTGATTTACAGCATCTGCAGTTCTTTCAGTTTTTAATTAAGGAATAAAGCTGTTTTCCACCAGCCTTGTTCCTGATGTCTCAAAGCATAGTAGTCAGCCTTCCATGCCATCATTTATAGCTTACATAAGGTTCAGCCATGAACTTTGTCTTTCTACAGGTTCCATATTCTTTTATTTCACTTGTTCATGGGTTGAAGGTGTCACTGGCTATGCAAGTGAGGACAGCAGCAAATGTAGTTAACATCCCCTTAATAATGTAACAATCAACTTTGCACCCAGTATATCGCAGATTAACATTTTAAAAAATCATGGGATGTGGGCATTGTTAGCTAGACCAGCATTTATTGCTGACAGAGTGGTTAAAATCATTGCTGCCAATTGTCACATATAGGCCAGAGAAGGTAAAGATAGCAGATTTCCCTGCCTAAAGGAGGACATTAGTGAACCATATGGTTTTTAAAATAGTGATTTCAGGATGGTCATTAGGCCAGCTTTTTATTGGAAATAACTTCGAATCCCATTATTGACTATGATGGGATTCAAACTCAATGTCCCCAGAACATTAAAATTAAGCAAAATGCTGCAGATCCTGAAGGTTCAGCTCAGTTTACAAAGTCAATTATTTATTATCTTTTGAAGTCTACATTAGCTAAAAAAATTATTCTCTTTCTCCGCAATATGAAATTCAGTCACATTGCAGAGATTATTTTGAAGATGATCATTTACAAATAGATTGATAACTAATTCTATTCATTGTTCGTCTCTAAATCTAGGATGGGCTCTTCTTTTGTTGACTTTTAAGCGTGTTTATCTAGAAAACATCCAGAATATATCCTAGAAATTCATTTGCTTTACTACTTAGAGTGGGAAAAATATAACAGTTCATGTGAAAATAAAAACATTCTGTGAAAAATACATTGTTTTTATTACATATTTTCCTATCCTTTCTGTTTAGGCATTTCTCTATTACATCACAAGTACACACAAGAGCCCTTGGACCATCCGTTCCTAGATTGATCAAGTTTATCCCTCATACAGTATTGAAAGCTTGTTTGTACAAAAAAAACTCCATTCCTACTCTGTTTCCTACTGATGAATTTTCTTCCTGAGATTTGCAGAAGTATCCAGGTGTCGCTTTTCCTCCCCTTGTGTACTAATAACTAAAATGCAGCCACTTACTAGGTGACTACGCCCCAGTACGGCATGCTTCACATGGTGGGCTTCTAGTCCATTTCCTATGTGGACATCTAACAGTGATTAACTGCAGTTATAATTCTTGTTTCTTTCCGGCATGCATTGATGCTGGCTGACAATGTGTCTATTTTCCCATATCAAAAAGGCTATGCAGAGACAACGTTTCATATTAGGATATTTTTCACTAAACTCCCACAGAATCTATTGATTTAATTGCCTCTTCCAAAACTGTAGATCCTGATTACATAGTTTCACATATTTTGCTGTGAGTGTATAGTTGTGCTCCAAATCCCATTGAATATTTCCTCTGTGCAATTTATATATTTTCCTGGAACTTTTAAATTTCTGTCAAAACATTAACAGCTTTAGTTTGTATATAGTGACATCAAAACAATTTGAATAATGACTGATAGTTTGTGTTTAAATGTCACCTCTCAAAAGAGTGCATTTACTTTCTTTCCATCCTAGTTGACTTAATCAAATATGTCAAAACTCTATGCTGCATTCAACCTTGAGTTCTCCTGTAATGGTTCTTGTGGCCAAGCCCTTGATGTCTTTAGAAATGACAGAATTTTTAAGTATTATTCAATGAACACACCAGTTGATAAATATACAGAGTTTAGAAATTTATCACAGGCATTTCAATTCCACAAAGCATCTCACATAATTACTATTGTGGGAGCCACAACAGAATGTATTGGAATATATTTATATCTTTACTATTGCAGCCTAAAACCCACACTTGGAATTTGCAGCATGAACTATCAGAGTAGAAGCGTGGGCTGATTTTATTTACTTTTTTCCTTCCCTACTATGAAAACATTGTTCTGTTTTGCTGACACCCAGCTAAGATTGGTTAAATAGGAAGCAAATATGAAATAGGAGCAAACCCAAATTGTTTTATTTGGTGTAAAGACCATGAGTTTTTAGTTTTGTGCTTTTTAAACTTTTGGACTGAAATGAGAAAAAACTGTTTTATAAATCAGTGTTTAAGGATTGCTGCATGTTTGGAAAAGCAAGTAAGCTGACACTTGGGTAAGCATCATGTAAACTGCAATTTGAACAAGCAGTAATTGAAGCTTGGGTTGTGACAAATTAGACCTAAGGGGTTGTGTACAGATGCACTTGAGTGGCGACAAGACATTGATTGATTGCCCTATGACTAATGACTATTTTTTGACAAAAACCTTTTGCCTGCCAACAACCATGTGATTGATTCTCAGGGAACTGAACAACTTGGGGCTGGAACATGATAGATGTGTTTTGATCTCCACCAGCACAGAAGTTGTCTTTCTCTTCTTTGTAGTCAAAATCCATTTTAAACTTGAAGAAAATTAGTTACGATTTCCTTCACCAGTTGTTGTATGCTGTGACTCTTCATTGACAAGAGACCTTTTTTTATACTTAACCCATTTCTTTAATCAACTTGTTCAAAGATGTTATTACACACCTCTGGAGCAGTTGGGACTTGAACCCAGGCGTCCTGGTCACTAGCAGTATTTGTGATAAAAGAACACTAGCACTTTTATAAGTGAACCAGCTACGTTGTATCTCTTGCAAACAAACATCCGGAAGGAAAATGACTAAAAAGCAAACTTCTGACCAAGAATTGTAAGGATCACCATAACAATCCAGGAAGAGGAACCATTGCCTCCTAGTTTTCCTCAACTTATAATCTACTTTTCCCTATTTCTTTTTGTGTGTGTAAGCGTAAGTTTATAAGAGATTAGAGTTGTAGTTTGTACTGTTATATGTTAACAATGTATAACTGTTTACCTATAGCTAGAATCTAATTACTTGTGATAAACAGTAATTCTTATGAAGTTCGGAAACCTGGTGCTGTTTATCAAACTGCGTCTGCAAATCAGGTAAATTGGGGAATTTTGTGTACTTATTTAAAATCTTTAACTTTTGTAACAACCTCAGAAATATTTCCATCTACACTAATGAGTTGTGACATTGGTATCTTGCCCTATGTTGTGGTCACTTGTAAAACCAGGGGCGAACATTCAAAAGTAGTTAAATCTTTGCATTAACCTAAATGTCCAGTTATGTTACTTTTGTATTTTTCAGCTGATGAATCTGGAGCATTAAACTGCAGAGGATTAGTTTAACACTTCAGTTTGCAATTAATAAAATTTTGTTTTGTTAATATAGCTAAACAAATCATCAGTGTTCATAATGAATGTCAAGTCACTTGTTTAGCTTTCAATCCTGAGAACCAAAATATCTTCTTGAGTGGAGGATTCAGCTCAACAGTGAGAGCATGGGATACAAGAAATTGTAAGGTACTATAATACTTCACTATGTAACACACACTTTTGATCTAAAGCAAAGTAATTTGTAGCAGTTAAGATGAAATGTGGTTTAACATTCCATTGGTATAGCAATGTAATCTGGTTGCCCTTCTCTAGGAAGGTATTATTAAGTTGGAAAAAGGGCACAGAAAAAATTTACATGGATGTTACTTAGTCTGGAGAGTTTGAGTTACAGGGAAAGGCTGGTTAGGCTGGGACTTCTTTTCCTGGAACGTAGAAGGTTGAAGGGTGACCTTATAGAGATTTATAAAATCATGAGTGGTATAGATAAGGTGAATAGCAAAGGTCGTTTTCCTAGGGTAGGGGAGTTCAAAACTAGAAGACATAGGTTTAAGGTGAGAGAACCTAATTTAAATGGGATCTGAGGGACAATTTTTCACACAGAGGGAGTTGCATGTATGGAATAAACCACCAGAGGAAATGGCAGATGCAGGTAAGGTTACGACATTTAAAAGACATTTGGACAGGTACGTGAACAGGAAATGTTTAGAAGGATATGGAACAAATGCAGTTAAATGGGAGTAGTTATGGTTGAGATACCTGGTAGGCATAGATGAGCTGGACCAAGGGGTTTGTTTCTGTGACTCCGTAACCTTGACGAAATTACCACAGTACAATTTTATCTGATTAAATAAAATAAACTAACATTTTCTGCCTTTTTTCCAATTACAAGCTCATGATTCAATTTCATATATTGTTTGATACTGTAATTCAGTAAAATACACTTGACCTTTTGAAAGCTGGCTTTACATCCAGATTGATGTGATGAGCATCTTCCTGCTGGCTTTAAATATTGATGTTGGGCCCAGAACCAATGCTTGTAATACAGCTCTAAATTGGCAAATTTGCTCAGGATGATTAAATGGGGCATGGTAATTGGAGGTGGAGGGTATTTAGGAATGAACTTCTGTTATTGAGATTACTGGTGCAAAATAGAGTGGCTTTAACTCATATTTGCTACACTTGAGATTGCCAGATGCTGACTGTCACTGCGCACATAACTGAAGAGAATTTTTATTCAAGAGCGTCTTTAAATTTAAAGAGCACAAAATGCATCAACAAGCAATTCTATGTTATCTTTTCTCATACTCATTTATGGACTCTGCAGGCTGGGATAGCATTTATTGCCCACCCGTAGTTGTTCTTTTGTTCATTGTGTTAAATTGTTATAATATTAATGCATTTTATCTTTGTATACTTCAACAATACCTGAACATCAGTAAGAAGCCTGACATGCCCATCATAATTCAAAATTGATGCTTTATATCTGATAAGCTCAGAAGTCATAATCTGAAAACAACAAGCCACAGAGTCATAGAGACGTACAGCATGGAAACCCTTTGGTCCAACTCGTCCATGCCGACTAGACACCCCAAAATAAATCTAGCCCCATTTGCCAGCATTTGGCCCATATCCCTCTTTATATTCATATACCCATGCAGATGCCTTTTAAATGTTGTAATCATTCCAGCATCCACCACTTCCTCTGGTAGCTCATTCCATACATGCAACACCCTCTGTTTTAAAAAGTTGCCCCTTTGATCCCTTTTAAATCTTTTCCCCTCTCACCTTAAACCTATGCCCTCTAGTTTTGAACTCCACCCCCCTGGGGAAGAAACCTTGTATATTTACCCTGTCCATGCCCCTTATGATTTTATAAAGCTCTATAAGGTCACCCTTAAACCCTGGCAACATCCTTGTAAATTGTTTCTGAACCCTTTCAAATTGCACAATATCCTTTTTATAGCAGGAGGACCAGAATTGTATACAGTATTCCAAAAGTGGCCGAACCAATGTCCATACAGCAGCAACATGACCTCCCAACTCCTACACTCAGTGCATTGACCAATAAGGGCAAGCATACCAAATGCCTTCTTCAGTATCCTATCTACCTGCAACTCTACTTTCAAGGAATTATGAACTTGCACTCCAAGGTCTCTTCGTTCAGCAACCCTCCTCAGGACCTTACCATTAAGTGTATAAGTCCTGCCTTGATTTGCCTTTCCAAAATGCAGCACCTCACGTTTATCTAAATTAAACTCCTCCGCCCATTGGCCCATCTGATCAAGATCCTGTTGTACTCTGAGGTAACCTTCTTCACTGTCCACTACACCTCCAATTTTGGTGTCATCTGCAAACTTACCAACCATTCCTCCTATGTTCACATCCAAATCATCTATATAAATGACAAAAAGCAGTGGACCCAGCACCGATCTATGTGGCACACTGCTGCGTCTCAGCCCTCCAGTCTGAAAAACAACCCTCCCACACTCTGTGTCTTCTTCAAGCTAGTTCTGTATCCAAATGGCTAGCTCTCCCAGTATTCCATGTGATCTAACCTTGCTAACCAGTCTATCATTCAACCTTGTTGAATGCCTTACTGAAGTCCACATAGATCATGTCTGCTGCTCTGCCCTCATCAATCCTCTTTGTTACTTACTCAAAAAATTCAATTAAGTTAGTGAGACATGACTTCCCATGCACAAAGCCATGTTGACTATCCCTAATCAGCCCTTGCTTCTTCAAATACATGTAAATGCTGTCCCTCAGGATTCTCTCCAACAACTTGTCTACCACCAATGTCGGGCTCACCAGTTTGTAGTTGCCTGGCTTTTCCTTACCTCTTTTCTTAAATAGTGGCACCATGTTAGCCAACATCAGTCTTCCGGCACCTCACCTGTGGCTATCAATGATGGAAATGTCTTAGCAAGGGGGCCGCGCAATCACTTCCCTAGCTTCCGTCAGAGTTCTAGGATATACCTAATCAGGTCTCAGGGATTTACCTTTATGTGTTTTAAGCTGTCTAGCACCTCCTCCTCTGTAATATGGATATTTTTCAAGGTGTCGCCATTTATTTCCCCTCATTCTATATCTTCCATATCCTTCTCCATAGTTAACACTAATGCAGAATACTCATTTAGTATCTCCCCCATCTCCTGCAGTTCCACACATAGGCGACAACTGAACAACTTCCAGTTCTGTATGTCTTTAGTGACCGAACCTTGTTTATTAGCTGACAACTTCATAACAGACTTCCCTGAACAACACTAGTTAGGTTGAAATTGACCTAAGCTTTTCCCTTGTATGGTTCTTCTCCACACAATTAACTTTGTGACTTCAGCAGTTGGGCCAAGGATAAACAGAGTTCCACCTGAGCAGCCTTCCTCAAGACACTCAAAAGGGAAAGGGCGAGGAAGAAGCGTACACCCTCCTTGTTCTATAATAATACACTGTTCAGCATATGGTTTAATTCTCTCCCTATGAACCAGCAAGTAATCATGAATAACCAAAGAGCCATCAGTAAAGAAGAAAATCAGGATGAAAAGTTTGCATTGCGTCACTGCTCTTTTTAAGCTGTTGGCGCTACCACTAGAACCTAATCTGAAGTCTTGGTAACATTCTCCTTATTCTGGACTGAATACTCAAGAGTTGATACTCAACATGAGTTGTGAAGCACAACATAAAGGGGCTCAGAATCTTGATTTCATTGCACTCGAATTGTTTCAATATAGTATTAAAGACCAAAGAAACTGTGTTACTGTTAACTAATAGGAGAACTGCACTTATAAAACTGTGTAATACTGTGTAATTTCTGAAGAAGGGTATAGGCCAAAACGTCAGCCATTTCTGAAGAAGGATCTAGGCCCAAAATGACAGCCTTCCTGCTCCTCTGATGCTGCTTGGCCTGCTGTGTTCATCCAGCTCTACACCTTGTTATCTCTGTGTAATATTGCAGTCTGATTTTCTAATTTAATTTTGTGACTTCCAATCTTTGAAATTCATGACGTCCATGATATCAACCATCTAGAAGGATAAGGGCAACAGGCACACGGGAATGCCGATTTCACATTTAGTTAGCACATGACCTTATAGAAAATATATTGAAATTCCTTCATTGCTTCTGGGTCAAAGACCTGGAACTCCCTTTCTTATGGCATTGTGGGTGCACTTTTACCACATCAACTATTGTACTTCAAGAAGCTGCCTCAACTCCATATTTTCAAAGGCATTTAGAAATAGTTAATAAATGCTAGCCTTGCCAACAATGCCTACATCTCACGAATGCATTGAAAAAGAAACAGTTTCTCAGTTTTGGAAAGGATGCTGTTCAAAAATCGATCAATAGAAAGAAAAGTAATATTTTACCAGAATGTTTTTTTTTGGGTTAAGGAAAATAGATATGACCTGAAAACTGTATTTATTATTATTTTCTAGGTGGTGAATGAATACAGTGCTGGAATACAGCAAACACTTGACATTCTTTTTCTTCCGGGTGGAAGAGAATTCCTTACCAGCACAGATGCTGTAAGCAGAGACTCAGCAGATCGTACAATCATTGCTTGGGATTTCAAGACTTCTGCAAAGATATCTAATCAAATATTCCACGTAAGCTTAATTGATGTGCATTTTCATTTCTGTATTGAGATCATTGATGTCATACATTTTCTGTTAAGTCACTCTGCAGAGGCATGTGGAGTCAGATGTAACAATGCAACTGAGCTGTTGTGCTTTAATTGCCTAATTAATTGTAGCAACTACTGTTTGTACTGCAGTAAAATGTTTCCAGTTGAATTTTAGTTTTTTGATCAGATCTGAAATATTACTGCAAATTCCTTAAGAGAGAGGTCAATAACGATGAAGCAGATATTTAAAGTGATTAGTAGAAGAATTAGAGGGGTTTGGGGGGGAGGGTGATTGAGTGCTGTACTTTTGAATTAGTGGGTTTGGGGTGGATGGGGTGGTGGCTGAGTACCTTCTTTGACTAAAGGATATCTGGAACTCACTGCCTGAAAGGGTAGTCAGGGCAAAAACCCCTATTGTAATTTTTAAATACAATTTCATATGCTCTTGAAATGTTGTAACCTGAAGGTCTATAGACCAAAATCAGTAAAGTGGAACTAGGTTGACCAGCTGTTTCAGTTGTCACAAACAAGACGACTAAGTGGCCTCTTTCTGTGCCATAAATGCTTCTATTTCAGTGCAAGGCTTTACAAGCTAAGATATCAGCTCAGATTTACCGCCAAGATAACAGTGTGTTTGATGTACTCACTATTATTAATGTATAAACAACTTGTGACAGGGAAGAACTAGTCTGTGAATTGTGAATCATGACAAATTACAGTATATGTCACTGCATTGTTAGCCTTGCAAAAATGGCAGTTTGTCCTCAAGATCCTCATGAGTCTTATTCATGCATATTGGAAATCGCTATTATGACAATTCTAAAATTTAAAACTTGAACTTTTTTTCTTTTCCTTTCTGTGTATTTCTGTACAAAATCTATTCCATTTTTTCTCTATTTCTTTTTGTACCTGATTTGGTCTTAACCTTTTTTACCTGTTGTCCCTCTGTTTCATCCTCAAACTTTAACTCTGGTGAAGAAGGTAAAATGTTCCTCCTGTCTTTTATTAAGGATCCAGGTTCTTTGTTGCTGTTGTGTCATTATGAATGCATATTTTCAGCAGCTTGCTGGAGAAAGATCTTTAAAGCTGAAGGGTGAGGAAAAATCAACATATTGAAGTTTCCAGCTCCAGCAAAATCTAGGCTGATTTTAACCATTCATTATTCATACCAAAGTATGGCAATTGCTGAAAGTAATTCATCCATTCTTGCTGTCTGCATTCTGAAGTGATAATTACATCTTTGCAGTACTTAGTAATCGAAACTGACAGAAAATGATTTTTTCCATAATGCATTACAAAATAACAAGTGCAAATTTGCACACCTGCAAACTACACTTTTGAGTTTGGAACAGTTCATTACTTAGGATAAGATAAATGCAATGCCATTGTGTAGGAATCAAAATATATTTTTATATGTAATTTTTCAGCCTAGACTAAGCTTATTTGTCAACATGGGAAAATGGCAGTGAGAGTTTTTAGTGAACGTCAATTATATACCAAAGATTGCCAGTTTATTTCTCTGATTTTGGCTAAATTACTAAGTGTCTAAAGAAAATGGCCACTGTTATCTTACTTAATTGCTAAAACTGATCAGGGCATTTCTATATTGGATCCCCAGAAAATGTAGTAGATTTTCAAAATTCCTTTCTTTCCCATAGGAAAGATATACCATCCCTTGCCTGGCTGTTCATCCCAAAGAACCTGTCTTTGCTGCTCAAACCAATGGCAACTATATGGTGTTATTTTCTACCCAGCGACCATACAGGATGAACAAAAGGAAACGATATGAAGGCCATAAGGTATTTTACTGGATTATTTTGATATTGGATTAAGCAAAAACTGTTGTTCCTGTTTAGCATATGCCTATCTTTCTAATTTGTCAAAAAATCCAAAAAGTAACTTGATAGCTCAGATTTAACACATCATTTTACAGTTATATAACATAGAGATTGTTTACTAAAAAGTTTTTACATGTGACAGATCTTCAATTATATCTACAGAAACAGAATAGATATTAAATGGATACTGTGCATCTGTTTAATGGCACAAGGTGTAAAAGAAAATCCTGAAAATTTCGAGATATCAGGTGTCAAATAAAAAGTAGAAATTTAAAGATATTAGATATTAGTAAAGATTACAGAAGTATTCCCATTAATTTGGCAAATGGAATTTTGGCATTTATTGCTCAAGGAATAGAGTATAAAAATAGGGAGTTATTGCTGTGATTGTGCAAGGCATTAGTGAAACCTCACCTAGGGTTTTGTGTGCAATTTTGCTCCCCTCACTTTAGGAGAGATGTAGTTGCATTGAAGACAGTTCAGGATAGGTTGACTTGATTGATTCCAGAGATGAGGGATTTGTCTTATGAAGAGAGATTGAGCAGTTTAGGCCCATACTCTCTGGAGTTTAGAAGTATGAGAGGAGATGTAATTGAGGTATATAAGATGCTAACGGGGATTAACAAAGTTAACATAGAGAGAATGGGGCAATGTGGGGCAATCTAGAATTAAAGGGCATAGTTTTGAGATGACGAATAGCAGATTTAAAACAGAAGTGTCGTGAATTTGTGGAATTCACTACCCAACTGTGTGGTAGATGTCAGGACCTTGCCTAAATTTAATGAGGAGATAGATTTTTAATTAGTAATGGGTTGAAGCATTATTGGGAGCAGGCAGGAGACTGGAGTTGAGGCTGAGATGAGATCTTATCAAAAGGCGGAGCAGGCTCAAGGGGTTGAATTGCCGAATCCTGCTCCTTGTTCTTGTGTTTTTAATTTCTCCAGTATTGCCTGTGAAAGGATCACAAAAAGCCCCTTAGTCTGATAGACCATATCCAATGGCTTTAAAAGAGGTGGCCAACTGATATTGATCTTCCAGAATTCCCTAGGTTCTATATCTGCACCCATGGATTTGGAAGATAACGAATGTAACCCCGTCAAGAAAGGAAAAAAGCAGAAAGCACAGAACTGTAAACCACTTACCGTGATATCAGTGGTAATAGGTGAATTGCTGGAATCTGTTTTTAGAAACATTATGACTGCTGTTTTTGCCCAATCTTGTTACGATTCTCAAAGCCAACATGAATTTATGAAAGGGAGATAATGTTTAACAAATTTGAGGATAAAACTAGGGGAGGAGATAAGGGTTACAAATATAATGTATTTGGCTTTTCAAAACAAAACCATTAAGGTGCTTTACATTATTATAAACAAGTATGGCTGGTGAGATTGGCAATTTATTCTCATGGATTGAAGATTGGCTAGCAGCAAGAAAACAGGGTGTAGGACTAAGTGGGTTACTTTTGAGTTGGAAGACTATAATGAATGGGGTAGCACAAGAATTAGTATTTGGATCTCAGCCATTGACAATCTATATAAATGTCTTACATGTATTCAAGTTTACTGTTGAAAATAGTTGAAAATAGTCCATGAGGAGGACACTAAATGCCAGGAGAAGGATTTTAGGCAGGTTAAATGGTTATCATGAGGAGAGCTATGAGTCATCCACTTTGGTAGGTGGATTAGAAAAGCAGAATTTTTTAAGGGGTGAGAGATGGGAAACGTTGGTCCTCTGAGGGATCTGGATGGATGTGTTTGACATGAATCATAAAGTTAAAATGCAGGTTGAGCGCGCAAATAGAATAGCAAACAGTACATTAGCTTTTGTTACCAAAGATTTGAGATTTGTAATTTATTCATCGCATGTGGGTGTCACTGGCTAGGCTGTTTATTGCCCATCTATAATTTCCTCAGGAAGTATAAGACTAAAAATGTCTTACTGCAGTTGTGTGTAACCTTTGTGACATTATGTCTGGAACATAGTACACAGTTTTAATTTTCACCTAAGCAAGGTTATAGTTACCTTAGATCAGAGGTTCTCAAAAATTGAGTCATGAGTGCCAGTGGGATCAGGGGATGAAAGTTTTGCGTTGCAAAGTTTTGAGACTATAATAACGGCTGTACTTCAATGGGCAACATTGATGAATTACACCTTTCTGGTGTGCTCTGTGGCAAAGGTCTGGCTGGTTATCGTGAGATCCACTGGAGTTTCAGCCAGCGATAATTAACACTTGGCACTTGGGAGAGAGGCCCTTTCCCAGTTCTCACAATCAACACGCTCCACCAACTCTCAGAACTCTGATATGATGTTAATGCAAAAGCTCTGAAATGCAGTAACAGTGGAAAAAAGGTTTTGGAAGCATTGCCTAAAAAAGAGTGCAACAAAGGTTCACTAGATTCATGGGATGAAGGTTTGTGCTACGAGGATAGATACAGTAGAGAAGGATGATATTCTCTGGAGCTCTGAAGTATAAGATGTAATCTTATAGAAGCATATAAAGATGCTGAGAGAATGTTTCCTTTAGGCTGTTGAGTCTAGAATTAAGAGGGACTGTCTCAGATAAGGGATTAGCCATTTATGACTGAGGTTAGGAGAAGTTTCTTCACTCAATGGTTTGTGAACCTTTAGAATTTTCTAGCCCTGAAAGCTTTGGGCGCTCAGTTGTTGATTATGTTTAAGTTACACATTGACAGATTTTTGAATATTAAAAGAATTAAAGGATATGAGGATAGTGCTGAAATGCATAGCTTTGCTACAAAATCACTTATGATCTTATTGAATCACAAAGCAAGCTCTGAGGGAGAACAGAATACTCTTGCAACTGTTTCTTATTATCTGAAATAATTTCTCACCTTTTTCTGTGAATGTAATTTCATAGACTACTGTAGCTTCATGCATCAGAATTTGGTTATTGGAACAATGGCACAATAACAGTTTTATCTCATTCAGGTCTGGGGAAGAAATGAGGAACAGAGTTCAGGGTGTTCAAATATTTTCTGTAATTTCTACACTTTTTATATTGGACCACTCCTTATTTTGGAAGCATGTGGCATAGTTTATTTGATAAAGCACAGAAAATAACAATTGATTTTTTTCTAGAGCTAGTCTTTCTCACACTTTGACAAATAAAAAATAACTTAGATGTTTCTATGCTTCTAATTGTTCTTTGAGATGTTGCAATGAATAGCATTGAAGTTATCTGTAGAATTTGTGCTCTAGCTCTTTGGTTGAAACATTGTTTTTCTTTTCCTCCTAGTGGCCTAAAAATTCAATTAAATAACATTTCTATTTGCCCATTATTGGGAATGTACCTTTTCAAAGTAGTTTTCTTTAGTTTGGCAGAAGTAATATCCAAATACCATCCCACTTTGAAAAAATATCTTGCTATGGCACTCAGGCCCACCTTGCTAAAATTAGCTTTGGAAGATCATTGCTGCATCCTATATCCCTCTAGTTATATTGTGGTTCTAGTTCCAAGAACGGTCACAGGCTCTGTTTTCTACCACAGATGCTGCCATAACTCTAGAGTTTCTCCAGCAACCTCTGCTTTTGTTTGTTTAAGAAATTTTGGTTATTGGAATTGAAAATAGGATGGCTACCTTGTATATCATCATTCTCTGTGTCATGCTGCTACTTCACTTTTTGCAATTGATCTCTGTGTTTGACTCTCTTTATTCACTTAAAATATTTGCTTTTCCTTTACTCCAATGTGGTTATAACTTATTAACCATAACTTAATAACTTGACAGCAAATTTTACTTTGTTACTCAGACACTAATGAGTTAAATTTATAACAGTTTATGTAAATGGTTTAGCTCCTAAAATTGTAAAACAGCTTGAATTCACAATGTATTTGACTATGGAGTGTATTGCAACAATGTTGATTCTGTTTTACTTCAGACAGTTACTTTAACCAACCGGTAGACATGAATTCAAATATAAATAAGATAAATGGGGAGGTAGGGGGTGTGGGTAAGGAGCGTGGAAACTTCATGTGGTATCTGTATTTTTTAAATTTGTAATGGAACAGATAGATATTATTCTAATGCATCATTTTTCTTTTTTCTAACCTATTTTTCTAATCAACCTGTTCAGAGGTGTTCTTACACACCTCTGGAGATGGTGGAACTTGAACCTGGGCCTCCCTGATCCAGGGCAGGGACATTACCACTGCCCCACAAGAAGGCTCCCAATGCATCATTTCATATGGGATAACAAGGTGTAGAGCTGGATGAACACAGCAGGCCAAGCAGCATCAGAGGAGCAGGAAGGCTGACGTTTCGGGGCAAACAACAACAGACCACACGCTTTAATAGCCTTTATCATTTGTTCTAAATGTCAAGAACTATCATCTCAGTTTATTATTTGAGTTAACTCTTAGGGCAGTGCTAACGGGATTATTTGTTTTGATGGAGCCAGTATTTCTGGGCAACCAGGAGGAAAGATTATCAAGCATTTAAGTGTCTCATATCAGTTGAACTTATATGGTGTTGGTTTGAACTGTGTGCTTGAAAGATCAATTTATTCAAAATTGGATCTCTAATTGTCTAACAGTTTGCTTGTTGAGTTCTTTACAATCAGTTAGGGACCAAGTATCAAAGATGCAACTCACAACTCAAGTGGTGCAGTGGAAAAGCTTGAGAAAAGATGAAGTAGAATGGAATAAATAATCAAAGTATGATATTAGAACTCCTGTCTTTTTCAGAGAGAGTTAGGGAGCACATATACCCAGATCTTCCATAAAATGATGATGATCATCAGATTGTTGCTTAGTCACTAGTTTTCTAAACCTCAGTGTTGCTCTGCATTCCTGGCTAGGTCTTCCAAACACAGCTTCTTCAGAAGTACAGAGTATATAGTTGTACAAAGAGCTCTCAATGTAGAGTTGGGAATTCCGCTTTTATGGTACGAGCTGCTGTAATGTAACATTAAATGTCTAGTGTGAATGATAGTGACTGGGTGAGCCGTTGAGTGAGTGAAGAGGGTAGGGTAGGGTTGGTGGATGAAGTAAGTGAGCATGGTGACAATTGGATTGGAATGTAGTTGAGTTGGATCAGGCAGGGTAGTCTAGTCGAGGGCTGATCAGGTCGGATTGAGGTGTTCATTGGGTAGTGGGCTCTGATCATGTTTGCAGGAATGTTTGAGTCAGTGGGTAATCAGAGAGGTTGAGGGGAGATTTGTATGAATGATGTGGGGTTTGGAGGTATGTTATATAGTTACCTAGGTGTTACACTGGGATTTTTCTGACATTTCCTTGATAACTAGCCAGTTAAACATGTCAGAACTATCCAAAGTCACTTTGGATCTTGAACCATTTCACCTACTTATTGAGCTAGAGCTTCCAAACTTTAGAGTTGGATAATGTTTCATAGGACTCATAGGAACCCGGGCAGTTGCCTGTCAGAGGTTTGAGCTTCCCAGTTAATTCCTAATGATGTTAGCAATTGAATCTTTGACAGAGGCCTGACACACATCCAGTCACCAATAAAGTGAAGACTGGAAGATTTAGCAACTCAATTAAAATCTAGGTTCCTAGAACTTCAGTGGGAAATCATCCTTTTTGTCCCATGCATGATTTTTGTAATTTTTTTTTGTTGATTTCTGTGTTATACTTGTTCTCTTGATATTTTCTTTCTGTCGTGGTAGTTTGATAATATTTTTTATCTTTTTCCTCACTCTGCTTTGTTTCTAATTTTTTTTACTGTTTTCTCTTTACTTTGCTCCTTGCAGCTGTCATTATTTCCTCTTTATGAATAGTTGTTTCTATCCAGCTTTCTCTCATTCTTGTTCCTTCACTTTTCAAATGCTCTACACAATATATGTATATACTTTATGCCAATCTTTCCTGAAAATTTGTGCATCCACTACTGTAATGGGAACAGTCTATGTGATTAATAATTGCTTTTGTGAAGCCCCTGACAACATTTTACTATCAAAAGATGCTATATAAATGTAAGCTGTTGTTCTGATCTCTCCTTTTGGAATTGGCCTGATACTTGTGTGACACATGTCACTTACAAGCAGAAATCTGACTGTTATCTCATTCTTACTGCAAGGGCGGCTACTTCATTAATTACAGAATTATGAATGGAGCTGAACATGTGAAATGATCAACGAACAGCCTAATTTATGATCTTATGATGGAAAGAAGAATACTGCTGATGGTTCTGAATCTTGAACCATTTCACCTACTTATTGAGCTAGAGCTTCCAAACTTTCTTTTGTTTTAATTGAATGCCTTATGACAAATTTCAAGATTTAACAATTTCAGTGTTCAGATTTGGTTTTGCACATTGCAGAACTCAAGCCAAATTGTAAAAATTTGCTTCAATACGAATAGCTCTAATGGAAAGTCATCTGCACTGACAGGGGTTTGTTATCATTATACTTGATAAATTAATTTTCTCTGTCTATTTTAACAGGTAGAAGGATATGACGTGGGCTGTGAATTTTCACCTGATGGGACTATAATTGCCACAGGAAGTGCTGATGGGACACTGTGCTTTTATAACTACCTGAATTCAAAACTAATTCAAACCTTGCCAGCCCACAAGGAGGCCTGCATTGATGTTTCATTTCACCCTGTGCACCCATCTATTATTGCAACTTGTGACTGGGGTGGAGAAATCAAAGTTTGGCAGTGATGACCTGTAAATTGCAGCTGAATTTGAGGAGCAATTATGCATTATCATTCATTATAAAACAAGTCACACTTGTCCACAGTACCAAGAAAATGCAGTATGGATTTCCCTTTATCTGCTGATTAATTCAATGATGCTTATTATGTTCAATCTCAGATATGAGTATCAGACAATGTTCAAGTCTCTGCACTAGGCCAGTATATCCAGACTTTTGCAGTGTAAGGAAAGTTAGACATGTAAAATATCTTCATTGTTCTTTACTCATAAATTGTGGCCATGTTGTGGAGCATCACTCCCATTTAGTGACCATTTAATGTTTCAAAAAGCACTGAAGAAGGGAATCAAGCCAACAGCTGTCAGGTTACAATATTAAGCAAGTTGTCTGAATTGTGTACATTTGGTTTAGTAGTGAATCCTATGATTGTATCAATAACATTAAAAGAATGATACCGCGTATATTTATAACAGTCAATGTGCAATCATCCTGTTTCCAGCATCAATATCGTTATCATTATTGTAAACACACAATTTATCAGGTTCCAATAGGATATTGTTGCTAAATGGTCAAAGTTTTGGAAACCGTTTACATTGATTGCCACCATATCACCTGCAAAACTTGTGAATCCGTTTTTGTGCTACTTTTGCACAACAATCTCAGGAAATGCTAACCAAAACACTCGAGTTAACCTGTGATTAACCAAATGGAAGAGTCAGAAAGGTCAATCACACCCCTGTTGGGCTGATCTGCAACTCCAGGTAACCAGATTCAATGACTGTTATGTGAAATGTTTAACAGTTGATTGTTGAAGCTGACTATATAAAATAAAATCGAATAAATTATTAATTATTTGACTTAAATTAAGAAAATAACTTAAATACTTCCATTCTTTCTTTGTTATTTTGGTGTATTAAGCAAATGAGGTACAGCTTTTTTCTTTCAATACCATTTAATTACTCCATCCTTGAATTAACTTCTACAATTTGCAGACATTGCTTTGCATTGTGGAATGTATTTTGAGACAATATTCTATTGGAACCTGATAAATGGAGGGATCAATTTAAGATTGGTTTAATTCAAGTATTTAAAAATAATACTGCCTGTAAATGGAAAAGCCTTCTGACTTATTGCTTTCAATAAATTAAAATAATGATTTAATATGGTATGAGAATTTTAAAAATTAATTACATTTGGCATAAATTCTATAAAGGATGTATGGAAGTGACAGGGAGGTATAAAGTTAACTGATAGTATTTTAGTATGCCAACGCAGACACAGTCGACAAAACCTGTTTCTTTTGTGCTATCAAATGAGGATTTCATGATGTTTCAAAATGTCAATCTAAATGTATCATATTTGAAACGAAAATGGTAAAGCAACTTCATGTGTGGAAAATGGTGGTAAAAATAAAGTCTTTCTTCAAAAAAAATTCTATCTAATTTGTGAAGTGAACACTCTGTGAAAAGTAGGAGTTGGGTTCTACACTTTGCAGATGTATCCCATGTTCTACTCTCATCAAACTTGAGATCATCCAAAATTCTGCTGCCCGTGCCTTAAATCACAGCAAGTCCTGTTCCCCTGTTATCCCTGTGCTGTCTGAACTGCATTGGGCCCTAGTCAAGCAACATACTGATGTTAAGAGTTACAACAGCTGAGCAGGGAAAGGCCTCAAGGAAGGGATTTTGGAATGATGTTGAGTTGACAAAACATAGTGAAGTTATGTGCTCTGAGTGTTCTCTTCACTTAGCTAATTATGTTATTGAAGCCTTCTGGTAGTAGCATGAAATGCAATGATTGTTTTTAATGACCTGGTGATTCTCATTTATGACCCTCAACTATTTCATTGATATTTTAAATGGCATAATTAAATAGCACTGTACTTTTGGATAAATGTTTTATTTGTGAGTTTAGTTAAAAGCAAACTATCTTGCAAAGCACTTTACATATAAAGAATAGGTGCCAATGAATAGAGCAATACACAACAAAATGAGTGTGAATATAATTTCAGATCAGTTTGTGTTTTAAGTAATACATAGTTATTGCTCTTAAGAGCAGCTTAAAGATTACATTTTTTGACTAGGACTCAATACATTAGATAAATACTATTGTACTTCAATAGAATTTGCATAATACTCTTCACATGAAGCAATCACAAGGGAGAAAAAGGTGAGATTATAGACAGGAAAAAAAAGTTGGAAGAGCTGGAAAGTGAAAGATTGGTGGCATTGTTGGAAAAACTACCATTTTAGGAGGTCTTTGAAACACTGGGAGTTATAAAATTGAAAGTCTTTTGGGGTAAAATTCTTGACAGAAAACTTGAACTTCATTTCCTCCAGGCACGAAATTTAAAAGTTAAGTGGTACTCGTCTGAAAAATGGTAGTAAAAGATCTAAAATGACCCATTGTCACCATTGCAATGTTTCCTAGGTTACAGCTAGATATTTGTAGAAAACCCAAGTCAGGTTGTAAAGTCCATTTACAATACTAATTATGACACGTATGGTCATGCATGCCAACCGGTAGTTTGACTAAATAGGATCATCAAAGTTGCTTCTTCTTTCTAGACTGGGAGGAGTAGAATGCCCTTTCACATTCCACAAAAATGTTTTCTTTGGCTCCAGTCACCATGTCGAGTACATATATTTTGCAGTTTAGAAATGATCATGGGACAATTTAGAACAATAGACAATACATAAGGGGAGATAGTGTTCTGTACAAAAGGGTGGGTTACTCAGAAATCTATTAAATGAGCATGGAAGATAGAAGCCAGGACAAAGAAATGAAAAGGAATGTAAGGGAGCTCAGATCTGGAATAGCTGACATTTTGCACTGAGTTACAAGAAGAAATCAGTAACTACATTAAAACAATTTTTAGTTTGCCCATATGTCTCTTAATTAAGAATCTTCAAAATTAATTTTGTAAAATTTATTCAGTCACACAAAGAATACTTTATATGTAATATTGTTTTCTGTAGCTATTAGCCCAGTACTTTGATGTTGAAGTTCGAGTTGAAGTTGCTTGGTAACATCGTTACAACTGTAAAATCCAATGGAACTCAGATATCCTATCATCTTGGTTTTGTTCTACTTTCAGCCAGAAAGTTGATGCAAAGTCCCCTGACACAGAGCCACTACTTCATTTTCTGAAGAAGGGCCTAGGCCCGAAACGTCAGCTTTCCTGCTCCTCTGATGCTGCTTGGCCTGCTGTGTTCATCTAGCTCTACACCTTGTTATCACAGAGCCACTACTGCCTGGCTGGAAATGAGAACAACCCCATATATTCATGGCCTCCAAATGTCACTAAATGCAACAATAGAGGGTAGTTATATCCAGATCTTAGAAGTTTCAAGTGTTGGTAGTAAAACAGGTTACTAGACTTAATAGCTAACCCGAGAATTGAAAAACATAGAAAGCATCTTCAGCTGTGGGAAATCCTTAAAATTGAATTTACTTTTCATAAGACGTTTCATTAACTTGGATTTACTTTGCAGCTCAACTTTTTAATAAATTCTTCACCCAACAGCATAATAGGAAAATAAAGACTTAAGTATATTTGATTCATTTCTACTTTAGCAGATGAAGACCTGCCCAGAAAAGTAAATATCCATTCCATTCATTAAAACAATTAAGTCAACCAAATTGAACAACGAGCTATGCAGATTAATCTCTAACACCTTAGCAAGCAATATATTTTTATTGATGGCTCAGGATGCAAAATAGTTGGTGCTTTTGTGCTTCAAGCTTCTCCGTTATTTTTGGCACATTTCAGTGCCATTTGTTTGACTGTGGAAATGAAGGAATCAGGAATAATATAAGTTTGCTGACTTTTAGTCTAGTATTTCTTAACATCTGAATGCAACCTCACAGAAAACTTGCCAATTTCAATTTTCCTACATTCTTCCTTTGTCATAGAGATGTACAGCATGGAAACAGACCATTTGGTCCAATTTGTCCATGCCGACCAGATATCCTAGATAAATCTAGTCCCATTTGCCAGCATTTGGCCCAAAACCCTCTAAACCTTTCCTATTCATATACCCATCGAGATGTCTTTTAAATGTTGTAATTGTACCAGCCTTCACCACTTCCTCCAGCAGCTCATTCCATACACACACCACCCTCTGTGTGAAAAAGTTGTCCCTTACGTCCTTTTTAAACCTTTCCCCTCTCACCTTAAACCTATGCCCTCTAGTTTTGGACTCTCCCACCCTAGGGAAAAGACCTTGTCTATTTGCCCTATCCATGTCCTAGAGTTTTGAAGTTGGAAAGGTTATGATTTTTGTGCAAATGCAATAGGAAGGATGTTATTAAACTGGAAAGGGTGAAAAAAAATTTACAAGGATGCTACCGGGACAGGAGGGTTTGAGTGTGGATAGGCTGGGATTTTTTTCCCTGGAATGTAGAAGGCTGTGGGTGACCTTATAGAGGTTTATGAAGTCATGAGGGGCATAGATAAGGTGAGTAGACTGAGGCCGTACTAGACTAAGGGGAGTCCAAAAACTAGGGGACGTAGGTTTAAGGTGAGAGGGGAAAGATTTAAAAGGGACCTGAGGGACAACTTTTTCACACAGAGGATGGTGCATATATGGAATGAGCTGCCAGAGGAAATGGTAGAGGTGAATACAATTATTGCATTTAAAAAACATTTGGACAGGTACATGGAAAGGAAAGGTTTAGAGGGATATGGGCCAAAGGTAGGCAAATGGGACTAGTTCAGTTCAGGAATCCTGCTTGGCATGGACGAGTTGGGACAAATGAGCTGTTTCCATGCTGTATGACTCTATGACTCTATAATACTTTATAATAATTACTTTGTATACAAAGTGCAGACTGCTTTATGATTCACTATATGTAAGTAAGAAATACATAAGTTTTGGTTTTCACCTTGAAATTTAAGAATTCAACTTATTCAGTCTGGTAGAATAAAAATCTCTAGGAATTGCGTGTTATATTTGCAGCCTCAAAATCGGGTGATCTTGGCTACTATGATTACATGTTATGATCCCAGTTATGAAAGTACTGGACAAGTATCAACATTATAGATATAACATAAATCTGGCTTTTCAGACCATAATCTTTTGAAGGATAGAATGCATTAAAGAACCAAGAGTAAGAATATCAGTGGCAGGATTCCAGGGTTGTGAACTGAAATGCACAAAAATCCTGTGAGATAACTTTGAAAACAAACATAAGCAATAATGACTAAATAAGTATACTGAACAGTTAAGATAATGGATGTAAATTATACACACTGCTTTTGTACAATTTAGACTTGAACATTCAGGATTAATATGTGGTAAATATGAATTAATAGACAAACTGGTTGAACACACTACACTCTGCATTTAAATGGTCGTTGAGGTGAAGACCAATCCCTTGCAGATATTGGTGAGAGTGGGTCACTAAATTTTATTAATTGCTCTGTCTCCTTTGTAAAGCTTTCCAATTATTCAGTTTTGAAGATCTAGCCATTGGAGACCCCTCAAAACTCTCTGTAACTTGCACTGCCTAATCAATTGTTCGTGTCTTTGTAGTTCAATCTCTTCACCCAAAAACAAGAGTTACACAGGATTACTGAGACTGCTCCCAAGAGTTTAATTACCAGTACAATTGAATCTTTCATTAAATAGCTAGCCTCACTAAGATGTTCCTGATATTCTGTTAGCTTGCAAGATTTTTCGTTACATCAAATAAATGCTTCTTGTGGGCTTCTTATACTAAACTGTCACAAGCACTGAAATATCACTGGCTCTCCCGTTACCATTAATCATTTCCTACAGCATAATACCATTACTCCTTGGATCTCTTCTGAGGCACAACTGCCTGCAATCTACCAACGACCATGCCACGTCTCCAACTTCAGCACTCTCCCATTTCCAAACTGCAGCTAACATTTCCCAGCAAACAAAGAAATCAATTGAATGCAGAGAACTTTCCTAACGTCTACACATCTCCATGATGATTAGAGTTATTTGAGGAAATAACTAGTGTTATGAACAAAGTGGAATTGATGGATATACTGTACTTAGATTTAGAAAGTATTTGCAAGGCATCATATCAAAGGTTATTAAGTTTTATGGCTTAGGGCATGACATACTGGCATGGATAGAAGATTAGCTAGCTAATAAGAAACAGAGTAGTCGTGAGTGGCTTGCTTTCTGGTTAGTAAGATGTATTGAATGCAGGAATCAGTGTTGGAGCCTCACCTGTTTACAATTTATGTGAATTACATGAATGAAGGAACATAAGGTATGGTTGCCAAATTTGCTGATAGCATACAGACAGTTAGGAACATAAGTTGTGAAGAGAACATAAGGAAGCTACAAAGGGATATAGATAGGTCAAATGAGTAGGCAAAGATCCAGCAAATAGAATGGAATACAGAAAAATATGAATTGTCTGTTTTGGATAGAAGAATAAGGAATTAACATATCACCTAAGTGGTGAGAGATTGCAGTGTTCTGAGATACAAGGGATGTTAATGTTCTGAATGAATCACAAGAGATTAATATGTGGGTAAAGTAAGCAGTTAGAAATCTAATAGAGTGTTATCAATGATTGTAAAGAAAAATGAATACAAAAGTAGGGAGATTATGTTTCAGTTATATTACTTTTGGGGTACTGTGTACAGTATTGACCTCATTTAAGAAAGGATGTAAACGTTTTGGAATAAGTTCAGATAATATTTACTAGTCTAAAACCTGGAATAGATGGGTTGTCTTATGATAAAAAGTTGGATAGATTCAGCTTGTATCTGTTGGTGTTTAGAAGAAGAAGTAACTTGATTGAAACATGTAACCTGAGGGGAATAAAACAAAGAACTACAGATGCAGGAAATCTGAAACAAAAACAGAAATTGCTGGAGAAGCTCAGGTCTGGCAGCATCTGTGG